GGACTCCAGGATCATGACCTGAGCTGAAGGCAGTCGCTTAACCAACTGAGCCACCCAGGCGCCAGATTTGCTTCTTTTCTTCTTCCTCAGGCAATAGATGATGAAGAAGCTAAGTTTCATGGTGTGCGTCTGCAGACCTCACCCCCAGTGGATCCCCTGAATTTTGGTTCCCGTTATATTGTGTCCAGTTCACCTCATCTGGAAATAATGCCCAAGGTCAGTAGAATTTGAATCTACTCAAATTTAACTTGGGTTTCAAAATATTTTGTATACATGAAAAAAAAATGGAAGACCAGTGGAGGGTCAGTAGCTCAGGTGACTATTCTCTGAACCATATCCTGATAAGAGCTGGGCTATCTTTCCTTCCATGGAATAATACTATTTCCTAAAATTGTAAACTTAAAAGATTGTTGACCATTCTACCTCTGTTTTTCCCTCATTTAGCCATGAGACTATATAGGAAACAGAGTATATTTCAGTGGCCAGTTCACTGCAGGCAAACAGGTCTTTTCACCCCACTCGCAACCTCCTGATACTTTAAGTCAAGTGGTATGTTTCCTCTAGGAGTTGAAATTATCCTACAGGAGTCCTGGAGAAATCCAGGTATTCTCTAAAGTCTATGCTGGGAAGATGGAGGAACCAATTGTACTTAACGTCACTGACAAAAGACACAAGACTTTGGTCTGGCACACTCTGGTGAAGCCAGGTAGGTAAAAATATGAGGCTAAGGTTTGGGGGGGAAGAAAAAAATCATGTCCCTCTCCCCTTGGTTGTAGTGAAGTGTGTCAGAGGAGAAGGTCTGTTCATGGTCCCATCCCAGAGAAGAAAACAAATCTGCTGCCAGTTTATAGTCAGTGTTGAGTTGAAACAAAAGTGCTGGCAGTGGTCATGTGTGCCTGGGATAGGAATGGCTCTTGGTATGCAGAATTGGAACCTCTCATACCTAGGTGGTAGTGAACAGGAGATGCTAATTATAAGAATCGGAAGGAGCAGGAAGTCAATTGAATTCTATCTTCTGGGCAATTTTATAGTTGTTGCCATACAAAGGGACTAAACGGTTGCTGAAGGAAGAAAGACACAAAATTTATCAGAAATTAGGGCGCCTGGGTGGCTCAGTCGGTTAGGCGACTGCCTTCGGCTCAGGTCATGATCCTGGAGTCCCGGGATCGAGTCCCGCGTCGGGCTCCCTGCTCAGCGGGGAGTCTGCTTCTCCCTCTGACCCTCCCCCTTCTCATGCTCTCTCTCTCTTAAATAAATAAAATCATGGGGCGCCTGGGTGGCTCAGTCGGTTAGGCGACTGCCTTCGGCTCAGGTCATGATCCTGGAGTCCCGGGATCGAGTCCCGCGTCGGGCTCCCTGCTCGGCGGGGGGTCTGCTTCTCCCTCTGACCCTCCCCCCTCTCATGTGCTCTCTCTCTCTCATTCTCTCTGTCTCAAATAAATAAATAAAATCTTAAAAAAAAAAAAATTAAAAAAAAATTTATCAGAAATTTAAACAATAGCAGGGCTTTTAGAAAGAAAACATAAGACCACGTGGAAGTCTTAATGGTAAACACACTTCAGTGATTTTTCCAAATGGTTGCTCCAGTTGGCAAACCTCCCACCAACTTAGAAGCACGTCCAACTTAAAAGTTCTGCACTATCAACAATCCCGGTATTACAGGGTTTAAAGAATATCATCATTTATTGTTCGAATGTACTCACTTCATGATGGTATTTCGTGTCTAAAATACATTTGCCTAGAAGATAATTTATGTAGAACAGTGGGATAATTTTACCATAGCTTTCACATTTCTCCACATTTTGGCTTATAAATAGAAAGAATATTGGAAAAATGTGTTCCTTCCTCCGATGCATTTCCTTAATGGGCAGTGAGTGACCTTCTACTTAATTGGGTTCCATTAGTATATCAATGTTTCAATGGGATCCTTAACTTAGGAGATGGAATTAAATTATTTTAGTGCATTACATCAAAGACTAGGGAAACTACAGGGGCACCTGGCTGGCTCAGTCAGAAGAGCCAGCAACTCTTGATCTCGGGGTTGTGAATTCAAGCCCCATGTTGGGTGTAGAGATTACAAACAAATAAAACAACAACAACAACAACAA